GGGAAATTCGCTAATATTTATGAAGAAATATCTGCTCTTATCGTGTCCAATAAAATCCAAACATAGAAACTTTGTCTAAAATGGTACCCATCTTGACAAATTATTTGCACCTGCCTATATTACGGACTTTGGCGCACTGGGTTGGTAACATTATTGAAATTAACACGACATTTTGGCTGTAAAATATGGTACAAAGAGAAAATACTATTTAAGCAGCTACTGTCATGACAGAAAGGTCATATTCCTTTTAAACTAGATCACATCATCCTTTATAAGATACGTTGATTAAATATGCAAGTAACCGTCAATATTTACATAACAGCCAATTTACATTATTTTTTGCTTTTCAGAAATGCCACATTGCTATGTCATTTGCATTATTTGTTGCCAATGAAGCCGCACGACCATATAAATGAGGAGGTCCCTAACAGTTCAAGAATAAAAGCCAACTTCACTTCAAGTATTCCACTAAACATTCCGTAACATTCCGTAGAGAGATTATACTGACAACTTTATGTTATTGATAAGGCTGATACAACTAACTGACATCCCCCATGTCGAGGAATTCCAGCTTTAACAGTAACCCCACAATCAATAATTTCTCAAAACTATGCTAGAGGGTTCATCATTGGCACAGAAGTACGAAATGAACTGACGCGACGTGACGAAGGAATAATCAAACTTACGCTGTAATGGATATACCTCCCTTTGAAGTTAGAATATGTCTTCCCAAAAAAATATTTTCTTTTGAAATAAAATTATAATACACTGATGAAATCACGAAAGTGTTTAACTACAAAAGATCCATCAATACGATTGTAATACTATTTAAACGTTCTTCCAAAGGAAGATATACCATATAACATACTAATAATAACTCCGATGACGTAAGGTATGGGGAATATTTTATTCATTGAATGATCAGCCAAATTTGACAACTAACACAATTAATATCATTATTGTTTTTACACTTATTACTCTTTAAATAATGCTAATTAAATGCTCAAAATACGTATATTTCACCCTATTTATCGCAGTTAGATGAATTAGCGTAAGCCTTGAGAGTAACCGTCGATTTCGACGGGTTTCACCTAGTATATAATATTCAATGCCAACATTAAATTGAATAATTTAAAAAGCTGCTTTGTTCTAAATACATACATATATATTTTTAATTTAAAGGGGAATTTTAATACTGAACATAAACGGTATATAACTGCCGACTAATATTGTTAAGTTCAATTTATTAATCTGAAAGTTGTGAAATTTAATTAGCTAAATAACATTATTCTGAAAGCTGTGAAATTATAATGATATATATTCATAGACGCCAAACTGTACTTACTCCATGAATGAAAGAGCTTAGAGTAAAAGTCGTTCTCTCTGTCTTAAGTAGACAACAAAATTGTTGGTCGCAAAACGTAAACAAATAAAAAGAAGAAGAAGGTAGCTCCTAATGTTATTCTTACGGGACAAATTTAAAAATGTTTTTTAAGTATTTTATAATTAATACTGAGTGGAATCGTCTAGAATTTTAATGGTGTCTTCCCACTGGTGTCATAATTATTTGTGCAAAATTTGAACGCTATAAGTGCGACGGTTTTTGAGTTTTTGGTGCGAACACACACACACGGACAAGGGGACAACTTTTCTCTGACTCCGCTATACACAATACATAGATTCGTTCACTTCTTTCACTCATCTATAACTGATTGAATCAATTAATTATAAACAGCTGTTCTTTTCCTTGTTTGCATTATAAAAATTAAAAAAAAAACTTGGAAGTTGTTTAAAAGGTTATCATTACATGAAAAGTATTTATGGAGTAGTTATGGCATAGTGCTGTTTTTCTTGCTATGGTAACGAAGTCTCGCATGATCTTCCTGGGATCGTACGCATGCTGATTGGTGTGAATAGGATTTATTCTAAGAGCTGTATCCCCCACATATCTAAAGACCGATTTTTCCAGGATCTTCAGGAAGAAAGAAGATAAAGAAATTATACTATCGATAAATATTGATATGTCAAATAATTGATACATCTCTTGGGCTTTCAGTGCAATCATTTTCCTTGTTTTACTAATTTCCTTAGATGCAATGTAAACATAATTTGAACTCAATCGACAACAATGCAACAATGAACTCAAATCTATAAATTTGTGTAAATACCTGCATTTATATGATCCTGTTTGTAGCTGAGTCGCTATACCAGTTTCGACATACATCGGAGTGATCTTCCAGCTATTAAAGATATGTTCTCGCTTCATTCGAAGGTCGTCAATTGATAATAAATAAATAAACAAAATGATAATGACAACATGTACACGAAAATAAATAGGAACATTTAGGATTCAAAAATACTGAAACGGTAGGCCTACGGGACACGACGTGATCTGGCGGGAGTTGTGTCTAAACAGCTAAACAAGATCGCATAAATGCAGGTATTTACACCAATTTATAGTATTTAAATGTGATCAGGAGGCTAAAACTCAATATAATGAACTAAAATCTATTGAAAACAATCCATACATAGAGCCAACACTTTCTATTGCTATAACTAACCAATTGCTTACAGAAGTTAACAAGTGAAGTGATCAAAATCAAATGTACAGTACTGCAAAGCTGACATTATCCACTCCAGCTGATTTCTACTCGTTCGGGTCCAATTTAGCTATTTCAAACCCAACTTAAGGTTTTTTACTGTCCATTAATACCTGAACTTCACTGATATAGTCTATGTAACTATTAGCTTTGACTATTGAAACACAATTAATAGTCAATGCTATTAGTTTTGATGTATAGTGTTGTTTACTACTTTTTTAATTGCCGTATGATATGAAATGTTGTTGAAGGAATAATTAATTGTTATCAAAAAAAGGTAACCATGATCTTTACAATCTTATTAAATTTGTATATTGTTTCAATTAACTTTTTGAAAGCGGAGCAAACAAATTGGTACAAAAAATCAAGTTAATGCTAAATAAAGTAAACTAGAACAATGAGTTGGGCTAATGAGGCGGACCTTGATTGTGAAAAATTAAACAAGCGTTACTGATTGCATGTTTCTGCTAGATTTATCTAAACCTCTTTTAAGCCTCATTGAACTAAATTGTGTCCATACAACATAAACCGGAATAAAAAATACAAACATAACAATGGTTTTTTTTGTGGAAAACCGAAGAAGAAAATGTTGCTACAGTATTGTCTTCTATTAAGGAAAAAATAAGTGGATTCACACACTAACACTAATCATAAACAATATTACGGCTATGTTTGCTCGCCAACACATAACATTTTGATCCCACAAAAGTTTCTTGAGCATTTTTCTCATCTATTCTCAGGAAGTGTAATAATTTCATTTTACTGATCAAAGAAAAATCTACAAAAAGAATTGAAGAAAATATTTAGGAATACAGTAGTATGTGTCCAGTTTTCATTAAGAACCAACTGATTGTAGAATAAAAACTGTACAACACATTATGGGTTCTTTAGCATGAACTTTTCATTAAAAGCCAATTATAAATTAAAGCTGAGTCCAGTTTCAGACCTTCAAATAGACCTTTGTTATGCCATTGTGATTAGAATAAGAGCATCGACCGCTCAACTGGTAACCAGTAAATGAATGGGTGATTTCAGAAAATGTTATTTTTAAGTACCTGTCTAAATCAGTTTAATTTTCCACAAAATTAATGGTGAATTCCTTGAATACTCTTTTCAACCTTTATACAGGCTGGTAACTAAATAAAATTCATTTAAATATTAAACTAAAATCTACATTTCAATATGATGAACTCTGTATTACCATAGATAAAACATACTCCCTTAGTCTTTTTGTTGCTTGGTACTAAGGTATTAGCCAACACCGATCATAGGAAACAAACCTCAGTGAACTGCTTATTGGACATTAAATAATTACAATGTTGTCAGAACTGTTGTAATAATAAAATCTAGAGAAAATATGCATTGTTCATTTTCTTGTTGACCATCAACTTTCAGACAGATCAACATTTACTTCCAAAGTTACATATCAAAACTCAAAACTCAAGGCACAGGGACATGCAATGGGCCTATGTGTTAGACGGGTTCATGATCTATCATTGTCCAGTCTAGTTTTTGTTGTGTCCAATCAAAACATACATATATAGACAGGAACTCTCCCATCTATAATATTATTGATACAAGGATGAGAATGATTAAAAACAGCATTTGCTTGGCGTATTGATGAACCATTCACAAAGTTACTCTGATCAAATAAATGAAAACGTTACATTAGACTGCCAACCGACAATAGAATCAAGGGTACAGGATGCAAAGCCTCATGATAGAAGCCCTGCTCTATAATCAATCCTGCAACCGAATCATCGTGTTTGCTGTTGTCAAAGCTACCAAAGTCAACTGAAGTGAAGCCGATTGCCAATTAGGATGAGATGTATTATCAAGAGATAATGAACCTGTAGAGTTGTTTAAAACATCTGAGTTGATTAGCATGAGTTGACTGGACGTTTATTATTGACAAAGCAATATCTACTAACTAGTGATACACGACAACCTCATTTAATGCTTCAGTTGGCTCAGCAATTGTCATGACTTCAACGAGCTAATTTCAACCTTCCAACTCAATGTCTTTTTTGTGAATTTACCATTATCTAGCTTGTAGAATAGGTAGAAATTTGACTATGGGCGTAAAGTTCTTTAAACAAAGGTTATGAGATGGAATTGTGGCAAAACAGCATCTTTACTATTATCAACTCATGAGTAAACAACAAGGACATCAGATACAAGTACTTTTTTTAATACTAACATTACTAAAGCATATAAAAATATAAACCCTATTAATAATTCTTGAATTACAAAGTGTAGCATAACTCTTAAATTTTTTTTTTCATTTCATAAACTGGCTATTTGAAGCATTCCTAATAAATATTTTGCATTTTTTATGTGGCAAAAAACATGAAATTAAGGCTTTGGGTTGGGATAATGTATAAACAATTAAAGGCCGTAAAAGTGTAAAAAAGTTTATTTCAGAAACAGACAATAAAATGTATTAAATATTAATATTTACAAGATCTTGCTTTATCTCTTTTTTACAGGTTTTGAAGTGCAGTACTGGTGGTGATAACAAAATCTTCACAGTACTATTTATTTATTTATGTAGCCCAAATAATTGGTGGCATGCTACTCTTTCCCTTTTGTGCAGAAGTTTCCTTGTCTAAGTGCCTTAGTAGCTGTTTAGACTTAAGAATAAGAATCTAATGACATCTTGCTTGTTTAGGCTCTTTACAAATACTGTACATAAACACTGATTGATAGAGCTGATATCAAATGGCAAAGTATATAACCATAAAATTATTTTCTCAGGCCACATATTTGACTAGATATTCTCTTCAGCGACATCTTCTTCAATCATAAATTAATTGATGAGACTCAGATTAGTCCCTGCCATCAATTTCAGAAATTCTAATTATATTTTCAGCTTGTCTGAGCAAGGGCATGTCAACCATACTTCCAGCATGCACAAAAGCTCCCTGAAATATTAGGGATTATTGATTATTCAAAAATACCATACTGCACTAATACTAGGAAAGTGCATACCTAACCTTGTATAGAATAATTAGTACCGGTAGACCGAGGCTTGCTCGGTTGTGGTTAATTAGGTTAAATCGTTAAAAAAATATACAGGTTGCCTATTGAAATATAGGATTATGGGAAAAGCAGAGAGAACGCTGTTCCCGCCCTATTATATCATTAATAGTACTTACTCTGCCCTCTTGTTGACTAAGGTTGAATCCCTTGACAACCTCCCTCGCCCATTGTACTTGCTCAGGACTAGGCAGGAATGCACTCTGGACTGTCTCTATTTGGTTTGGGTGTATAACTTGTTTGCCTGTGTAACCCAATCGAGCACCAGCAATACTCTGTTCTCTTAATGAGTCAAGATCTGAAAAGGAGAAATTACAGTTGGTAGTAAATTGTTGGTCTTTAATGTATGCTTGAGGCTACAGTTTAAATCAGAAACTAAAGCTTTAGGCCAACAGTCTTTCAACAATAGATAAACTGTGGTTATTGAGACACATCACTTTCAGAATTATTTTCAACTACCCTTTGTAGTGTAGTTTAAAAAAATACTAGCTGTCAGTGTTATTCTGAAGGACTGTGTAAGGAGAGAATTTTTCCTCTTATCAAGGCCGGCACAAGGACCACTGCCAGAGTGTGGTTGTGTAGATGTCCCAGGTATAAAGCCAGCAACATAGGCCCGGTTCACACGAGCGACATACCTAGCCGACTAGGCTGTGACTAGTTAAGCCCGACTGGGTAGCGGACCGCAGGATCAAATGGAGCCGTTCACACGAGAGTAGGGCGACGACTACCTAGCCGCGTTCGAGCTTGTCCCAAAACATAGTTGGGCCCCGCTTCCCAGTCATTGGTGGCAGCTACCCAGTCACCCAGTCTAGCGGCGTAGCAGTACACGTAGCCTTATGGGAGCGTTCACACGAGCGATCGGGTGCGATGCGCTGCAGCTCGCATTCTTTCCTTCGTTCTCATTGTGAACCAGTGATGGATCCGAGTGGTTTTGATAATTTTCATCTAGTCCGTGGACATTTGGCTCGTGTGAACCGGTGTATCCTTTGGTCCGCTACCCAGTCTGGCTTACTTAGTTTTAGCCTAGTCAGCTAGATAAGTCGCTCGTGTGAACCGGTTATAGGCCATAGGCTTTAAACCATAGGCTGGTAGGCATCAGCAGATGCTAAGTGTCCACACTGTCTTCAATATATTTGTCAGCACTTCTTGAGTAAAAATTTGTTTGTGACAAAAGAATTTCTAAGTCTCATGTCTGCAGCTGATGTGTTTCTTACTTAAAAGATATATCTCTGAGCTTATCTTGCATACGGGGAAAGATTTTATTTATTTATTTATTTACAGCAAAATCCCCACTGTTACAATCTTCACTTGCATCATAGCAATTTGTGGACAACATTGATACTAATTTAACAATTTTACAGATTTGATAATTTAACAAACTTTCTAGTCGCACAGCAAAGTGTACACATCAGCTACAGAGCTACAAATGGCGCCTTTCATAAATGATGCCAGTAAGCATCCTCGCTGCGGCATAAACATGAACTAAGAAGCTATACACAGAAACTGTAAATTTAAAAAATCTTTCAAGAGAGGACCGCCAGCTTGCTACTAGCATGGGAGGTGCCAAATAACCTTGCTACAGCACTGCTTTGAATAAGAAAAATAGTATCGAGTAAGTAATACACCTTCTAACCTGTTTGGAGATAATGTCTGATAATGTGTTGCCTACCTTTGAACTGGATGTGAACCATATCAATAGCCTGAAGGCCAAACGCTTTTGCCACAAGCACAAGACGTTGTCTGGCATATAAGATCTCACTACCATCCACACTCCTAGCCGCTCCTGCATTAGAATTTGACGTGATCAGAATTAAAGTAATTTAGTATTAAAGTTATCAGTATTAATTAAAGCTTTCCTGCTTCCTGGCTACATGAAAACCTCTCTAAGTGGACAATTTTTGGGCTCAGAGATTGTTGAGTTTTGGGGTTGTCAAAAAATCCAGAACATTGAAATGAATTTTAATAAATTAATACATAACAGACTAATTTTTACATTTACATATACAGTATAACCGGTACTTACATGAGTAATTTTACACATTGAGTGAACTATTTTAAAAAAATTGAATATATTCAACAATTAAAACTTGAAAAGTCTAACACAATAGTAAGACAAAGCCAGCTGGACATGCACCCTGTCAGCTGTTGACTGTCTAGTTACACGGACTATTGAGTTACCGGGTGTCGAGTTAGTAAGGTTCTACTAAAGCACTTCTTGGATGGATTTTATCAAGTTGTTTGCAAAATTATTGATAATTGGTAATCGTGCATTCAGCTTATTGCATTGTAGGCCTATACATCTTAGAAAATAAGCATTAAGATACCTTAGTTCAATCTCATGGGTTGAAATGGTATATCTCTAGGCCTATGCTAAATGTATGGAAGGGAAAGGGAACAAACCAAAATAAATAGTATATTTCAACTACTTTTATTGCTGGCCAGTTGTGACCAGACTTAACTGTAGAGGCATAGTGCTATGAGATAGCTGTGTAATGTGAGTCATTGACTGGCTAATCATGAATGTGACTGCGGTCTACGAGTCACTGATCATATGATGAGTATGCCAACATGTCTGGTCTCTGTAGCCCACAAGATGGTGGTAGGTTGTTATTTCAACCTAGACTGGTACACAAGTCATCAATGCCAAACACCAGTCCGACAGGTACAAACATGTGGGACCGAGACAGCTGTACTGCAGCTCTGCAGATCTCTGGCAGGTACGGGACATCTAGGGATAACTCTGCATGAATCACTGCCAAATGATGATAGATTGTAACAGTAACTGTATTGTTTACTCACCTAGGCTGGCACACAAGTCATCACTGCCAAACACCAGTCCGACAGGTACAAACATGTGAGACCGAGACAGCTGTACTGCAGCTCTGCAGATGTCTGGCAGGTCCAGGATAGCTCGGGCTGACTCAGCATACATCACTAGCTTCACTCTGCTGTCCTTCCTCAAATGTTGGCCAAGCTGTTCAGCAAACTACTGAAATGTTCCATTAAGTATTACGGTACTTTTCTGACTGTGAAAAACAACTCTAAATAAGATTTATACCGTACTTTGAGTTAAGTTGGTTCATTCCTTCTGCCTATAGAATATTTAATGATTTATTGACTATGTTGTATTAAGTCTGTTCGTTTTGTAATATGATTTATTTGTGTTTGAATATGTTTCGTTGTCAAATGAATTTGTAAACAGGATTTTTTTAACATTGGTTTAGTTTTGAAATAGAGTTTGTTGAAACAAGATATGTGATTTCTATTTGTGGATTAGAAATAGAACATGGTGGCAGCTTAATGGATTTTTTATCAAACTCAAAGTCTAAAACCACGCATAATGACAAGTAAGTGCAGAAAAAAAACTGAATACTCTGAGGCAAAGGTGTGAGGACAACGGGGAGGACGATGCCCAAAGTGAACTCAACAACGTGTCAGAAAGGGATTCTAGAAAGACTAAAGATGAGTCACAAGGTCTGGAAACATTCTCTTTTACTCTAAATGAGTGGCAATCCTGGAGGAATTGCTTTCAAAGGTAGGCCTACAGACGGGGTTGCGGTCTGGATAGTGTTATGTATCAAGAAATAAGTACATATGTTTTATTTATAACATCTGTCAGATGACTGTTTATATTATTATGTTTTGTTTACTTTTTAGTTTAGTCTGATTTGTGAATTCAATAAATTTGGTTTTGTTAATTATGTTTCAATATACTGAACTGGCGACGAGGATAATTGGATAATGATGGATCTCAATAAGCCTGATCGTTTTGACCCCCATACGAATCCTGCAAGTGTCGCACAGCGTTGGGGTACGTGGATTAAGCAATTTGAGAGGTATGCTTTAGCTGCAGACATCACCAATGATGTAAGGAAAACAGCACTACTACTTAATCTAGCTGGTGAGGATGTGGCTTACATTTTTGACAGCTTACCACAACCTAATGAATTAACATACAAAAATGTGATCAAATTATTAACTGACTATTTCGCTCCTACCAAAAATGTCCTTTTTGAAATATTTAATTTTAGGAAGTGTCGTCAAGCAGAAGCAGAATCGTTTAACTCTTTCTATTCTCGTCTAAGAACATTAGCTGTGAACTGTGAATTCAAAGACTTGGATAGGGAATTAATTATGCAAATTTTGATTGGATGTAGTAGTGATGAGTTAAAAAATAAAATCTAGAAAGAACCTACTATTAAACTTCAGGATGTTGTTATTGCAGCTAAGTCAAGTGAATTATTTCAAGCTCAAAGTAAGGAACTTTCTTTTAGTAGCTCAAGTTTTGCTAATGCACATAAAATCGACCATTCAAACAAGAAATTTGCATTTAACAACAATCCAGCTCACTCTGATACGACTAATGTTTGTCTTGGTTGTGGACTAAGACATTTTAGAAGGGATTGTCCCCATCTTCAAACTATTTGTAATATTTGCAAGAAAATCGGGCATCTAGCACGAGTTTGTAAAGGAGGGAGACCACGCCCCAAAGAATATTTCAACCAAAAACACAGATCAAAGGGACAACGGGCTCAATGAAGTTTTGTCAGAGGAAACCAATTGTGAACAAGAAGAAACGTTTCCACCTCAATCAAGTAACGAAACAACTCAGTACGTCCAGGAAGTTAATTGCTCTAAAGTTCCAGAACTGTGTACAACTGTCAACATTAATAATCACAAAGTTCTAATGGAAGTTGATACTGGTGCAGGTGTTTCTATCATAGGAGGGGAACTATGGAATAAAATTTCTCATAAAAACTGTAAACTGCAACCTTCTCCCTGGAAACTCAAGGATTACAGTGGTAAACCTGTAAGTGTTTTAGGTCAGACTAATGTTTATGTGAAATACGGTAAGTTGGATTCCTTCCGTTAGTCATAACTGAAGGTAATAGAAATAGTTTATTGGGGCATAACTGGTTAAAAAGTCTGAATATTGAAGTAAACGGGGTGCTTTCACTCAACTGCCATGAATCTGATGTTCTAAGTAAAGCCCAGCTGGATGTTCAACATCTGAAAAGTGAATTTTCTGATGTATTTTAAAATTCTTTAGGATGTTATAAAGGGCCTCCAATCGAACTGAAAATTGACCAGAATTATAACCCAATTCACTTAAGAGCGTGCCCTTTACCTTATGCATTGCAGGCCCCAGTAGAAGAAGAGCTGTATAAGTTAGTTAATCAGGGAGTGTTAGAACCTGTTCAGGTATCGGATTGGGCCATGCCAATAGTTGTTTCAGTAAAAAGCAATGGTAAAATACGTATTTGCGGTGATTATAAGGCAATGTTAAACAAAGCTATCCAAGATCATCTGTACCCTATTCCCCCAATCTCTCAGCTCTTAGCCAAATTAAACCAAGGAAATATTTTGCTAAGTTAGATTTAGCCCAAGCTTATCAACAATTGGTTGTTGACGAGAAGTCGGCGCTAGCTCAGACACTAATCACCCACAAGGGAGCTTTTAAACCAAAAAGACTACAATTCGGTATAAGCTCAGCTTCATCTATATTTCAACATTTTATTGAGGGTTTGCTTTCGGGCTTAGACGATGTAATACCTTACTTTGATGATATTTTGGTTAAAGCAGGAACAATACATGAATTGATTACGACATTAAGACAAGTATTCACTCGTTTTAGTGATGCAGGAATCACACTCCAAAGCGAAAAGTGTTCTTTGTTGTCTACATCAGTGGACTTCTTGGGATTTGTTGTGAGCTCTGACGGAATTCGTCCTAACCTGGACAAAGTCAAATCAATCCAAGATGCTCCTGAGCCGACTAACAAGGAGCAACTGCAGGCATTTTTAAGGTTACTCAATTTCCATCACTGTTTCTTACCCAATAAAGCCAATGTTGCAGAACCTTTACATCGCTTATTGGAAAAAAATGTTCAATGGCGGTGGGAGGAAAAACATAAACTTGCTTTCGATGCTTCAAAGAAGCTCCTTTCTTCCGATAGTATACTGGCTCATTACAATCCCTCCATCCATCTTATACTAACTTGTGATGCATCTCCTTATGGTATTGGTTGTGTGCTTAGTCAGGTTCGAGGGGAAAAGGAAGTTCCAATTGCGTTTTATTCCAGGACAATGAGTCAGTCAGAACGAAGATATGCTCAAGTAGATAGGGAAGCACTTTCCATTATTGGAGGGATTAAGAAATTACTTATATGGGAGGCATTTTGAAATTAGAACAGATCATAAGCCACTTCTGGGTCTTTTCACTGTGAATAAACAAACACCAAACACACTGTCACCTCGAATGATTCGCTGGAGTATCCTTTTAAATGAATATGACTTTGATCTTGTATACAAACCGGGGATTTCTATTCCGAATGCTGATGGTTTGAGTCGTCTTCCATGTTCCTCCAATGCTGTTGATCAAGAGATAAACGAAGTCTTGAATGATGTGTTATACATTGAATCCGATGAGGTTAAACCAATTACAGCTAATATAATAGCAAAAGAAACAGAAAAGGATCCACTTCTATCAAAAGTAATCTTATGGACTCAACGTGGCTGGCCAACTCATAACTCAGATCTCAACGTTACGCCTTTCATTTCTCGACAAAACTCAATTTCTCAATACAAACAATGTTTACTTTGGGGAACTAGGGTGATCATTCCATCTACTCTCAGGCAACAAGCTCTGAAGCTTCTACACATGGGACATGAGGGCATTGTTCGAACTAAGGCGTTAGGCCCGAAGCTATTTCTGGTGGCCAAAACTTGATCAAGACATATCAAGACATATTGATTCATCAGACCTGGTGAATTCTTGTCAAGCATGTCAACAAAGTCGTTACAACCCTCCAAGAGCAACGGTCCTTCCTTGGGAGAAAACAAAACAACCCTGGTCTCGTCTCCACATAGATTTCGCTGGGCCTTTCCAAAACAAGTTGTTTTTTATTGTTGTTGATTCTTTCAGTAAATGGTTAGAAGTAGTTTTGGTGCCTTCTACAGATTCAAGATCAACTATAAAGGTTCTCAGAAGCCTTTTTGCAACACATGGTGTTCCAGACACAATAGTATCTGACAACGGGTCGGCTTTCACTTCACAAGAATTTCGATCGTTTAGTGAAAGCAATGGTATCCACCACGTCGTGGTTTCACCATACCATCCATCATCGAATGGTCAGGCAGAAAGGATGGTCCAAACGACAAAAAATTCTTTGCGACGAATACTTCAAGGAGATTGGAAAAAAAGATTGGCTCAGTTCCTAATATCATCTCATATAACGCCACATTGTTCAACTAATATGTCACCGAGTGAACTGCTTTGGAAGGTGTATTAGAACCATCTTTGACAGAGTTCACCCTGATTATTCTTCAAATGTCAAAGAAAATAAAAGCTTGGATAAAGCGCTTCACGATTACCAACAGTCACCTCAGAGAAAATTTAAAGAAAATAATTCCGTATTTGCAAGAAGCTACAATCAGCGAGGACCAAAGTGGCTTCCTGCTTAAGTCACTAGAATAACCGGGCCGCGGAGCTACCATTTGACAACAAAAGAAGGCATTGAAATACGACGTCATATCGACCAATTAAGACCTCGCTCAGAAATATCAAAAGCATCTCCTAACTCACACTTGGATAATCCTGAATCTCCAGTAAACCCACCATTCCACCCAATATTCCAGAATCCTATTCAGATGAGAACACCAGAAGCACATCATATCACTACAGTTCAACCACAATCAATGGTCCGCAATCCTATTATGATGAGAATACCAGACGTACAACCAATGCGACCATCAGTGATGCAACAATCTCTTAATTCCTTTAGTAGTATAGAAGGATCAATTAACCCTCATCAAGTAGATGCTGGTTTCAACATTTCTGGTTTAGCTGGTCCCAACGTTTCTGATTTAATTCAAGACTCCACTAGCATGAGCACGAGTCCACAACCTGTTCGGTCATGTGTCTCTAGATCAAACTCCCAAAACACTTCAATAAGCATGAGTCCTCGACCTGTTCGGATCCGTCGACCACCGGCATATCTCAAGGACTACCTGACGGGGGAGGAGTGTTATGTATCAAGAAATAAGTACATATGTTTTATTTATAACATCTGTCAGATGACTGTTTATATTATTATGTTTTGTTTACTTTTTAGTTTAGTCTGATTTGTGAGTTCAATAAATTTGGTTTTGTTAATTATGTTTCAATATACTAAAGATAGCACTTCCGACACTCAGCAAATCAACGTACTTTTGTTTGCAATAGGTAGTAGGAGTGAAGATATTTTTGATTCGTTTTCATCAAAACCTAATACTTATGACAAGGCTCTTCAGGCCTTTGATGAATACTTTTTGCAAAGACGGAATATAATTTATGAGCCGGCACAACCAAACTTTACCAATAAGAAACACACATCGACACATGCTCCAGATTTTTTACAACCATATAAGATGTCTATTCCCACTACTCAATTGATGTCAGTGGTACAATCACTCGCTTATAATAGCCTCTCTTTTCATAAAAATTGTTTTGACAGTTAGTTAGTTATTAATGCAGCTTTGTCATATAAACAAATAATATGAGTTTGTAGGTAGATGTGAACATAGCAAAATGTCTAAATACAATTATTCTTTCCTGTATCAACAGTAGTTATTTTCTTTTATTTCAACAATTTTGGCAGCATACTCACCCATTGTAAATTCTCTACAGACTCCACTTTGGGCAAAAATATGGTCTGTGGAGTATGAGATGCTGATAATATTACAGCCAAATCTTTATCACAAAGGCCACTGCTCACAGAGTTAACCCTTACAGAAACCTCTGGCCTCACAGGTACGGCAGAGTCAAACACACTCTTGATCAGATCACGAGCTGCCTCCTGTAACATTTATTTTATTTTATAAGTATTTGTTCAGCCAATTTCCTCTATAGGGAAGAAATAGTCGTATATTGTTTCAATCATTCAAGATAGCATTGGTTATAAAATTCCACCAACCTTTCTATTTATTGCAACTCCATCTTCACAATCCAAAACTATGCAGTCAGCTTTGCTTGTTAAACCTTTATTGATTTTCTTGATATCATCCCCTGGGCAGTACATAACAGCTCTGCGTGGAGTATTGTCCATATTTATCTGTAATTTAAAACACTGAGCATAGGCTATTCAAAGCAAATAAAAAAGCTGCAAATATTAATTAACTTTCATCTTTATTTCGATTCAAAATTATTGGGAAATAAGAAAAGATGAAGGTGTTTTTGTGAAAAGATGATTACGTCAGCAATACAGTAGAACCTTTGTAATAAGACTCTCATGGGGATTTTTAAATAAGACTTGTTACGTTACTAACCCTTAACTGCGGGCCCGGGGGTATGACATGGCACATGGACAGACGCTAATGAAGGAAGGATTGTAGGCCTACGTGCCAGACCCTGTTTCTTTTTACACATTCAGTTGTTTGTGGCTTTGTCAAGGGTGCGCTTTTTCAGTGAAAACTATGTGTTAAAACAAAGCCATCAACACAAAACACGTATGTGGCCATATTATTACTTCAAACATAGGATTCAAGGAAATCCTATAAATATGTAAAAACTTAAATAACTTGACATTATACAGTAGAGTCGCGTTAGTCCGAAATGATTGGGACCGGGCCCATTTCGGATTACCGAATCCTTCGTATTAAACTTTTTTTTTTTTAATAGGTATTGAAAAAAAGTTTACATTTTTTTTATTTTTTTTTGTCTTAAGACGCAGGCACGAGCCCGGGATTGTTTTTCACATTACTTAAGGCTAGACCTAGTGGCTGCAGCATTATCACTTAATAAAATCCATTTGTGATTTGGCGGACAAAAATGAAAAATGTTACAGTAATAACAAAAATGGTGAAATATTTACTAAAATACTCTACAAAAAAGTATATCTCGCTTGGCCGCTACAGAATACTTTGACAAGGTACAGCTAACTGTGTTAAAAGTTTAATTAAAAAAATTTCAAAAAATGTTCAAACAAAGTTTTAAAATTTTAATTTTTTTTTTTTTTATATATTTTTTTGTTTCGGATTAAGCGGACTTTCGGATTACCGAAGTTCGGATTATAGGGACTCCACTGTATTTTTAAAGGTTAATTACCTAAAATGTTAACCCACATCTATTCCTGAAGTAAGGACCCAAATCAATGAATGCACTTACTACGCAGTATTAGGCCCATACTATACGGACGCAAAATGTGCCATGCTGTTTTTGCGTCAACGCCCCACGTTGCTTCTCAAATCCCTCACTCATTTGCTCAATTCTGCGGGTGACGCATCTAGCGTCCGTAAGTCCGGCCCCTAGCGTTGCACTATCTACATTGCGCTGCTAACGTTTTTTTCAGGGCTGATTGCGTAAAAACGTATCAAGGCCAATTTTGGAGGCCAGCGCCTCCAATATTTTGGAGGCCATTTGGTAGACTGCGCTCATATAGTCGCTCCAATTGACTTGCATTGCCATCCGAAACAAAAAATAGCGCAGTGTATTTTACACAACGCATTTAGCGCCCATATGGGCCTTAAATGTATGTTGGGTACCGTACTTCAATGAGTGGGATTAGAGAAGGGTTCAGTGTGAATGCTTCGCACGGGTCGGCTATATAAATCAATATTGTTCTTTAATCAATTGTATCTGTTTTTATCAAGGTTTTGCATATATTTATTCATGTTGCATTAAATTTACTATATTGCTATTGATTCTTGTTACTAGAGTTAGTATATCCTATACTGTTATTTTGATATTGTTGCTTAGAAAGTCTATTGTATTGTTATTCTGCTGCTAGTTATTTAAAGAAGATGATTATATTGAGGTTATCTTTATTTTGTCTTGTTCTTGTTACTCTTGTTGTCTCCAGTTTGTTTGACTACTTAAATGTAAAAAAACTAGTTAGTTTAGACAAAAATCTAGTATTTTCCTTTAAAAATGGTGAATCTGTTTACAAACACAGTAATCTTACTAATATTATAAATGTGAAAGTTTGTGTGTTTGTTTGTTTGTTTGTTTGTTTAAAGTTCAATCACGCATTAACGACTGGACGGATTGGGCTGAAATTTGGCATGATAATAGCTCACATTCCCGATTAACATATAGGCATATTCTTTTCTCAAAAAACCTTTCGGGCTCCGCCCCAGTGGCTCTGCAGTTTCCCATGTTAACCTTATGAGTATCCATATTTAAAGGGAATCAAAGAATTTAGTCATCTGTTTAAACTCAAAAAGTTGGTTCTATGATATATTTTTTTTTTTTTTTAAGAGGTTGGCGGCCTCTTTTATCCTTGCATTTGCCCGTCCACATAGACTACAGATCTGTGCGTGGAACGTATCCAGCAAAGCAAGGAGTGAGCCGGTACAGAACAAAGGTGAACTGTACTGATAAAAGTTTGTGGCAGTGACCAGGATCCAAACCCACGACACTTCTGCCATGGGCCCAAAGTCCGTGACGCTACCAACTGATTAAAGCATTAAAAAGTAATAAGATTTACCAACAGGGTGCAGCACTATTATTTTTTTCATTTATGATAACAGCTTATTGGAACTATAAGCAGCAACAAAAAACTGTGATACGCAATGAGAACTTTCAAAGTATGATTGTTTACAGTTATGTTTATGCTTTTAATTTCATGTATAATTTGTGATATTTTGCAAACTTTTAATAATTTATTTTTGTTTATTGTTTAGGTGAAGTGGTAGAACATTATGGCTATGGTAGATGTGTAATACTATGGTATACCGTAAATTTAAAGAAGCAAATGTTATCAAACTGTGTCTTCCCCCGTTGCAAATGCAAAGCTCGAGTATAACTGCAATAAGCGTTTTATACTTATATGCCAACCCCGTACGAAGGACGGGTACTCTGCTAGTTATAAATACATAAGAGTAAATTTACATGACAGTTAAGTTGGCAGATATTATTATCCAATATTAATTACAAGAATGAAAAAATTGCTGATTTGTGTGTTATTGTTACTTTTTATTGATGGTATTTTACCTTCTAACATTTTTAATCTCAATTTAAAACTTTGATTTAGGCCTATTTGTTTCTAGCTAGAAATCATTAAAATAATATGGAAAGTAGAAATGATTAGTTACTATGTTACATAAATTTAACTGTAAAGAAGGTTGCTGATCAACAAAGAAACACTTAACATAGTTTACTATAATATAGTAAACTACTATAGGTAATATAGTAGTTTACTATAATAGTACTATAATAGTACTATAATACTATACTATAATACTATACTATACTATACTATACTATACTATACTATACTATACTATACTATACTATACTATAATACTATACTATAATAGTAGTTTACTATAATATAGTAAACTATGTACCATAATATAGTAGTATATTTTCATATTATGAAAATATAATTAATTATGAGTGCAGACTTACAATTAAGTGTTTAGGAGTTAAATAAAAATAATATTCAGTAGAACCTTTGGGCTAAGCTTGGTTTATGGTAACATCACAAAACACTGACTATGGATCAAACTATTTTATCTGCTTCAAAAACTATGTAATCATGAGCAGATGTTACACACTAATTGAACCTCCTACAAAATTTGATAAGATAACCTACGGGTTTAAAATTAGTTCTAAGTTTAATTCATTATCAAGAGATATCTGCTATATTATTGCTTTAATATTTTGCCTACGATACTTTGTTATATCTTTCAGGAATGGACTTGACCGAAGATTATATGGTTGCAACTTCTTTTCAAACTCAACTCAACCCTTTAAAATCCTGCCTGGTTACTATAACAATAATAATAATTTGTTTATTGTAATCAACAAAATACATTGCATTACAAGCGTCAGATAATATTTGTGAAAAAACAATTCAAGTTAATATTTACACTTTGTCAGAAATTTTTTTTAACACCTGCGTCTGAATTTTTTTTTGTGACATTTCTTAGAATTTAGATATCTCAGCGGTTGTTCATGAAATCGTCTACAGAGTACAGCGCATTGGACACCAAAAGGCGTTTTAGCCGAGTTTTAGCGAATTTCCCTATAGGGAAGTAGCTATTACCGTAGGTGGCATGGTAAGACCTAGGCCCGGGACCGATTTACTTTTTCATTTTGATGTCCCCAGAGGCCAAAAACACCATTCGTTCAAATTTTTTTATATGTATATATATATATATATATATATATATATATATATATATAGATTTATATATATATATATAGATTTATATATATATATATGTGTCCGTGAACACGATAACTTGAGTAATTTTTATCCGATTTTGATGAAATTTGGTTTGAAGGTGTAAGGCGGGATAAACTTGAATGAGTTCGCGAACCAGCAAGATCGGACCATGGGAACGGGGTTTTACGGGGGGTTTTATGGGGTAAAAATTGTTTTTTATAATTTTTGACCCTCCAAACGCAAAATTTCCCAATTTCTCTTCAGACCTTCTTAAAGAGCTTAAAAAAACAAATAATTTAGTATATCAAAGTGTTTTTGTAATATCATTAGTTAGGGAGAAAATTCAAATAATTGTTATTTTAAAATTCCCATGTTATTCTTATGGGGAATATTGTAAAATGTTGTAGTCTGCTTGTTTATGGATATATTTTGATCAAACTTGGTAAATTTATTTATTTTATACTAAGTTATTAATATTTCTCTAAAAACACACTTTTTTACCCTCCCTGTAGCAGCAAGCCTATGTACTCATAAAAATTAATGTTAATTAAAAAAATTTAATTGAAAATCAATTCAGGCAACTGGAAATTCGCTTAGTCGGCAGGTTTGCTGCGGCGGGGGTATTTAATTGTTTTTTTGTTTCGGCATGTTTGATGCAGGCAGGAAGTTTGTTGAGGATTGTGATACCAATCTGCGATGGCAAAGACTCGAACGCCACACTTCTATGCTGCAGAGTCCGGTAATCGTCCCTGCCCCTAGTCTCATAAACATGGACGTCTTGGCCCTGCACTAGTGAGCATTCATACTTACAGTACATGGCCACATCCAAGATGTAGAGACAGGGTACAGTGAGCAATCCCAACACACTGAAAGCATTTTTACATTAGTCTCTCCTCCGCAATTTGCACATTATTCTCACTGCCTTTTTCTGCAGTTTGAAA